TCCATTTAAACCGACCACAAACATAGCTTAACATATAATAAACCGATTCCCATTGAAATGCTAAAACCTTAGCGCATAATTATTTGATTTGATAAAATCCAACCGGTACGCGAAATTTATGTCCATTTTTAAAATGTCCGCCGAACCAGAATTAGAACACGCACGTGATTTCACGTCACCTCGAAAATAAGATAAACTCTTCGGTAAGATTTAATTACTTGTAACATAATTACTTATTTCCATGCAAACTGTGATGATATGTGTTGAACAGTCAGCAATTGATGCTATGTTTAATTGCGCATTGCCTCGAATGGTGTATCTGGAAGAGTTGTTATCATTGACGTGTTCTGAATGGTGCGAAGGATTAGCGAATGAAACGGTCTGTTACGGCGCGCTTTAGGCGTGTTTTGCACGGAACTGTGGGTAATCCACTAGTAACACTAATGCTGATTGGTCAATCAAATGTCTGACGTCATAGGTCAAAAGTTGCTCGTATGACATCTGACGCGACCTATCGCTACAACCGGTCAGATCTTCATGTAGTGTAGGCCATCGGAAGTATAAAAAACGAAACGAAATATAGATCTGTATTTTAATCAGATTGAGATAAATACTTATCTTATTTTCTCTATTTTTCAGTAGGGTCGCCTGTCCAACCCCGTGGGTTTTCTTCGAGTACCCCAGTTTCCTCCCACTGCTAAAGACCCCTACGCGCAAGCGAATTATTTATACAAAATTGAACCATGTTAGTCCCGAAATGACCTAGTTTGTGTCGAGTGGACGTTAATCTCTCTCTCTTGGTGTGTATACATACTCTTCAAAAAAGTAGGGGATATAGAAATGCAAATTCCTATGCAGGTTGTGATATGATAAATAGTCATGGACACTTGACAGGCTTTGAGAGTATGTTCACTGATGAAGAACTTATCGCCCCAACAGAACCACTGAGCTTCACATGCGACACGCAATAGCGCCATACACGTGGGAGGGGTTCATTGCCAAATTTGACACTTCAAGGAAGGGTTGATGAAAACTGCCGCGTGCTGGTTTATCTATCCATGTTAGCATTGCTATCGGTTCTTGCATAAGATTTATTGTTTAGCGTATCTTTGCTTTAGCGTGTTACGTTTATTTTCATCGGGGGACGTGTTCGTCGACGTCAACGGACAACACTGCAAGAAATGGTCGTGGCACTGCAAGGGGAGTGGGTCAGATTGCCCCAAATCGTGATTGGACGGTTGATTAGGAGCATGCTACGACGAATTGCTGAATGTCTGAGGATTGGTGGAGCAATTACTCATTATTAAGACAAAAATCAAAAACGTCCATTTTCACTTGCGAGTGAAATGGGGTCGTCAGATAGGCCGCCCATATGAACTGTTTATGTTGATGTGTAGGCAATTGGCCTTTTATTAACGTACCCTAGTTACCTCTAATAAAAACAGCAGTGCATTTCCGAGTTTGGTATTGTTTCTGAATATCCCCTACTTTTTCTGAAGAGTATAATAATATGTGTAATTTCTGTATAGACTACATTATTTAAAGTCGTTAAGTCTCTAACTCAATATCATCAAAAATCTTCAACATTGAAAACACGATTTATTTGTCAAATTAAATCAACATTCATGTTGTGATCTTACCGGGAAAAGATGGGCTTTTGATATCCAATATTTAAGACAAAATAAACATTTTACCATTGGTACACGAATCGTGTACCATAATGCGCTTCAGTCCCAGTTGTATCAAGAGACTCGAGGGACGAGGCTAGACACATTGCACCAAATCAAACGGCGTATGTAGACTGGAATAACCAGACGCTAGAAATTTGCACTCGCTTGAGACTGCTGGCTTATTTCGCCGAACATAACTGATTTGAAATTGGAGTAAAAACGGAAACCATTGAATGTAAATCAGTTTATATACATTCATATTACAGTATTATATGCGTTGCGACCCACTTTTGTCAATTTCTAGGTCCCAAATGTTAGCGATTTAGCTCCTTTAAGGTAAGATATTTCTCCTTGTGGTTCCAACAAAACGCATTTAATTTGGGTCAGCCGTGTCTGTCGTGGATACGACTAAAAATGCCACCCGCCCCTTATTTACCACTAACCGATTTCAACTAGTGCAACTGCAATAATACTGCCTAAATTGGCCCCACAATGGTAAATCCGACGCTGTTACTGCCATGGGAATGTTTCAAGGGAGGTAACTCGTCATTCTTTCCTTACAAATTGTGAATAAATAAATGGCATGTTTTGATTTGTACTTTAAAACCAATATTACTGAAAGTAATCATCCCCATTATTAAACAGCAGTGAAGTCGCGCTTTTATTTACCTGTGGCTTGGTTTTAAATTACTTTGAGTGCAGTTCAAAAAGGCCGATTTGATCTCGGGGTCCCGTTTGTAGAAGCGCATTATAGCGTCTCGGTGTCCAGATGAAGAAAGAGGGTAGTTTTGACTTCAGTGCAAGGGCGAGTGTGCCCAGTTCTAAATCACACGAGTGATGCTTAATGCGAAATGGCTCAATTCCTCAGTGTCAGAGAAAATTCCCCGGGATTTTCCATCGAGGTTTCCCCTGTTCTTGAAAGAAGCTTATTTTGTAAAAATCTATTACATAATAATATGTCCATCGTCCTGTTATTAATGGTCTTAAAGTAAAGCATTTATGTGACATTTTGTGGGCCATTTTTTCCCTTGTCAGCTTTATTTTCCAGGAGTTGGTGATTTATCTAGTGAAGATCCATTGCCCAATTAGAAATCTCGATCTGTATCCAAACTACTCTTTTTTCTCAAAATGGTTATTATAACTGCATAACCGTGATGAATTCAAGAAAACCTTGCCATAAACAATTGATCCTAGTTGCCTTTATATAACCTATATATGATGATGGCACTGCATAATCAAAGGTGCACCATGATTTTGCATGAGAAACAAGATCCCGTCCGGCACCCAAAAAACAATATTTATATGTGTATGTGGGTGGGAGTGAAGAGAGGGGGGGGGGGGGGGTCTCAGTGCCGACGGGTAATATTTGGGTGTGAAACATGCTAGAGTAGATTTGTAGCAAATCTGAGCCACGGTATACATGTTTGACACTGGTGTTAAGAATTATGATTATGATTATAATGTTGAAAACCGCATTGAAACTGCGTGACTCTTTGCCACTTGCGAGGGGGCACAAAAGCTCAAGGGGGCGCAAACTCCAAAAGCTCGACATTGCGTCCCTCTCTCTAATCCCCAGAGGTGAGCATGATACAATCTCATTAACACACAGATCCTATTTCGCTTCGTTTTTTATAGTTCAAAAATTCGTTTTACTTGTCTTTACTACACTAGGATTTGGAAGAGTTGTTATATAACCCGCGTTTTGGTTAATGTGAGGAATTAGCCAATGAAACGGTCTGTTGTAGCGACTTCTTGGCGTGCGATACACGGAACTGTGGGTATCATACTAGAAACATCAACGCTGATTGGTTAATCAAATGTCTGACGTCATAGGGTCAAAAGCAAATGATCCCAAATGCGACCTCCAACTACAACTCAGATCTCAATGTAGTAGAAGCCATCGAAAGTATATATAAAAAAGGAAACGAATTATAGATCTGTATTTTAATCAGATTGTCACTGGTCCACTTTATAGTAGTTTCCCGTTTAAAGTTCGAACAGCTAACCACGGTCGATCTTAAATTTAGTACTCAAAATGCATTCACTTTCAAAATCGTGTCCATGAACCTGCGGCGTCTAGCCCATTCAATAGTGACGGATGTTGTGCAAAAGGCAGCATATATTTACTTTCTAGAACAGATGATACGCGAGTCAATCTTTGCAAACGGTCAAAATGCACAAACTGGACAAAATGGAATAATCCCACGATAGAAAGTGGCACAAGATGTCCATAAAGCTAAGTATGTCTTACATAAGACACGACTCTAACTTAATGCCAAATAATAAATGATGTAGTGGTGCATGCTTCCCAAATTCCAACCCTACTCCCTTGTCGATGGAAATGGTAACAATGACACAGAAAAACGACCTAGAGAATATGATTATTTGATAATACTACATCTGTTAATTACATGAGGTTGTTGATGTGATTTGGCAGACCAATCATTCCCCATCATAAGATCTATAATGTGACATGAAGTTCTCCAGAAAGGTCAACATAAGCCCTGTTTACACTTGGCCGCGATAAGCCTGTCGTTCTCTGCACGGTACCAGGCTGCGAAAACTTTCAAGAAATTGACCCGTTTACATTACTCTAAAATAACCGGTCTCGGAACCGTGCCAAGCACGCCAAATGTGGAACTCTTCACAGAAAAGTTAATTTCAGTCCCTCTGTAAATTACCCGGATGAAAAAAAATATGGCAGTTGATTTAGTTTGTCCAAGTTCGCGGGAGAAACGGCCAGGGTTCTTTTGGCGCAGGCTCAGACCGGATAGCGTTTACACTACAAAAATTTAACTGTGCCGTGCCTGCCACCGTGTCCAGACCATCTCATTTCAATGGGCCAAATTGGCACAATACTCAGTAAGGCACGCTTAAGCTTGACCCGTTTGCACTACAAAAAAAATAACCGTGTCGTGTCTGGTACCGTTCCTGGCATGCTTAAAATTTATAATGTAAACAGGGTTATAGAACCAAGCAGACCATGCGAGGACACCGGAGAGGGCTAATATCCGAGCATACATTTGATTTCATGGAGGTAAGAACTGAAGAGCACAGAAAAGACTAAAGTGTGTCAATTTCCAAAAGATTCCAACCCCTTTGAGGTTTCAATGAAGACTCCATATAGTCCATAGTAGAGCATATGTGAGCTAGGTTTACACTCACATTTACTTCTGTAAGTAATGGGGGATATAATGCAGATAAAGAAAACGGGAGTTTAAAGTGTTGGCTGTCCAAAGATATTATTTATAAAGTTTCAGACAGGAACTGGGTCGTGGAAACACTTGGGGACAGAAACAACATTCATTAAAAACACTTAGGAAAATAACAAAAGGGGCTAGAAATGACATGCGCGTGGTTTAATTAAAAGACACACTGCCTGGCAACAAGGGTATTGAACTTTGCAAGGGAAATGATTTGTTGTCAGAATGCAATAGTTGTCAGGAAGAGCAACTGCCTACCATAACCCTCTACTAGACACGGATGAAAACACCCAACAAATTTCCATGAGTGGGTTTCTATCAATCTTGAGGCAAGGTGATATTCAGGAAGAAAGTCGCACCAGAAGAGTGGAAAGAATGCTATAATACTGTAAAGCTACCAAATATTGGGCTTACCTTATGCACAATAATTAACAATAATTAGCGTTTGGTATGTTAGATATCTTCAATCTAGATAGACGTCTAAATCAATTCAGAAAGTTGTATTATCTGTGTACAACAGCTTTTAGCAATAGCATCTTCCTGTTACCCATCTCTGGGTATACTGTATACACTGAATATACATATATACCGTAATGCAAAAATAACGTGTAACATTTAATTATTGCTAATGCCAGTGTGGACTAATATGGCAAGAAATTAATGTGATTTGGCATCAAATTAATGCACCTCGGCGCATTATAAATATTCAAGCAATAATTTCTGGATAAAAAAAGTAATAAATGTTGAGTAAATATTTCTGGTCAAAATATTAATACAGTGAATATACATTTTTGTTCTCTAACATAAAATAAAGTACGGATAATTTACCCTGTAAAAAATGGTATTGTCAAACATAACACCCCATAAAACGTAACATGATAATCAATAGTGATTGTACATTTGATAGCCAAATACAATATTTCGTTGATAATACAACAATAATGTTATTATCTAGTAAATGATAACCTAGTGTTAAGAAGTACATAAAATGACCATAATAAAGTTGTTTATATATACACTTTGCACCATTTTCACATCAATCTGATTAAAAGTGTTCGATATACAACTGTTTGTGTCAGGACCTAATATACAGCCATAATCCAATTGGTTATGTGACATCATAAGGGCTACACAAAGTATATCACTATGTGCAAGCGGTTAGCAGGTTTGTCTACGATATCACCTATGGTGAAAGTGGACGTAAAGCTTTAGGAACAAACGAACGTAACCAGTTTATTGACATCATGGTTCAATTAACATGTTTACTCTAATTAGTACCTAAGTGGCAGTTTCGGGAACCAGTGAGTCAATATTTTATACATTTCCCAAGGACGAATAATAATTGTTAGTACGGAGTGGATTTTGTTTGTAAATAATCAATGTAGATTGATAAAAGTTAGTGAAACCTAGTCGAAACGTCGCTCAATAATAACTTCATTACTTAATAAAAACTAAAGAAGCTTATAGTGGAAACGTCGCTCAGTAATACATAGAAATGTGACCTGTTATAGTCATTTTATGTGCTCTTCAAAATTAAAAGAAGTCACTTATTCTAGAAGATATTGTGGTTAATATAGCATTAATTTAAATATGCATTAATTACTTGCCTTACAGTATAGCTAGAAATCCAAAGTCTCGAATAATCAAATTGCTTATCGCTCTGCTTACCCTGACCCGAAAATGCGGATTTTTAAAACTTAAGTCAAGGTATGGAAGTCCCCTGCTTTCTTCCAAAGACAAAGGACAAAAATACAAGTATGTAGAGGTAAATTATACAATATTAGCAGGATCTAATCTATTCACATTTTGCTTAAAAATAAGCCTCTGTATGTTATAAAAACTTACAACCTAAAAAAAAAACAATTTTTTTATAAAAACATATTAATCAAGTACAGAAACATAATTATAAAAAGATTAAAATTTCTAACATTATAAAAATACATTTAACAAATACACACATAAAATAGTATTCAAATATTACAAAAGCCTTAAAGGACAAGTAGGAAGAAGGAAACACATTCTGACACAATATTGTATGAAATTATCTGCCCTCGGCAGTTGAATATCATACTCCATTGAGTCTATAACCTAATAATCATTGATCACATACTTCCTCAACCATTGTATAATATAAAAAAAACCATAGCTGTTCCAATTAATGAATACATATGCTTATAATTACCAGCAGCAATAACTACACATAAAATTCAAAACAGTTCTGAAAAGAAAAATCTAATGTCAGGGATCTTAACACGACACAACATTGATGGGAAGTCAGTTTTAAGGTGTTAGTGCAAGATTCGTGTAGTCACTATGTGAAAAACTTTACATTTACGGAAATTGATTTATTTTACTAAGATAAAATTTACTAAAAGGAAAAAGTCAAATTAGTATTTATCTCTTTTGATACTGGCTGCTACTACATTGTAGATTGTCAAAATATTGTTCTACAAGCCCAATATTTTGCTTTGTGCAATAAATATCATACAATATCGATTTAATGGACACAAGATCCAAATGATATTAAAAATATAACATAATTTAACAAAATAACCCATATATTAGTCGATAATATTATATATTACATATATCACATATTTAATAAAATATACATTAGTGTTATAAAAATCTGAAGATTTCATATATTTATTTACATTAATATCTGGCTAAAATTAAAGTCTCTGATCATCATTTGGTAATTTTCAATCCCTTGTAAACCACACTATTATCAGTCTAAATATGGTTCAATTCTGTTTAGCATTGCAAAGATACAAGAATTAAAAAAATTGTAAACATTTGGCATCGGCTACCAACGATATGGTCACAACAAGCCAGTGCCACCTTATGATTATCGTTGGATCTTTCAATGAGTCTGTTTTCATGATTGAAAACCTCGGATATTTGGATTTTATTTTCTTAATTAAATGATAAATAATCTATCTGAGTAAATTTTAGCATAGATTAAGTGAATGAGGATCTAACCTTGCTCTCAATCAACTAAAGACTCAAGATGAACATCAATCTATAAGTGAAGACTTTGATCTCATTACTGATGTTAACTTGAATAATGATTTTAAGATTCATAACTCACATGGAATGTTGCAATTGGTCACAATATATTACATATACATGTATGTACCCAAAATGTTTTTAATACCTAATCCTGTTTAACGTGTCCCTCCCTCTTTGATGTGGATCAAAGTTAAACTAGTCCAATTAACTAGACTTTATATTGGTGTATTTTGTAAAATATAACTGAGTTAAAATATCAAAACTAAACTTAAATCAACAAACTGCTTCTGCTTAACAAAACAAAAAAATAAATATCGCAAACCTCTAACACAATATTGTTCATAGTATTCAAAATTTAAAACACAATTTAGAATTCAATATATGTCCATTTCAATCACTATTGATGTTGGTATTCTAATATCCAATATTTAAGACACAACGAACATATCAAAATCAGTACATGAGTTGTGTACTCTGTGGGTTTTGGGCGCCATTTGTAATGAACAAAGAAAAAACGTATCTTACAAGACAATGTGGAAATAATTAGTAGTGTATGATTCATAAACAACAAAATAATAATAACAAAATGTGTAGAATGAACTGGGCAGACATAAACAACTGAAATTCAATTGGAACTGCTCATGTATTTCTTCGATCATAATTGATTAGAAAATCTAATATTTTTTTTTTAAAAATTGAATACAAAACACTTTATATACATTCATATGTGCTGTTAGAACCATTTTCTTCTATATTAAGGTTCCAAAGAATAGAGCCATACACCCTTAACTTTCACCTTACTATTCAAAAAAAAAAAATATCAGATCACTCCAATTCAATACTTTATTTTGACCTAATTCAAATAGGTTTAGCTCATTCATAGTCCTTCAAATTACCTGAATCATCCATTCTTTTGGGTCTCCAAATGGCAAGTCTTTAAAGGAGCTAAGTCTCTAACTCAATATCATCCAAAATCTTCAACATTTAAAACACGAATTATTTCTCAATTTAAAACAACATTGATGCTGTGATCTTACCGGAAAAAGGTGGGATTCTGATATCCAATATAAGACAAAATAAATATTTTACCATTGGTACACGAATCGTGTACCATAATGCGTTTCAGACCCAGTTCTAGCAAGAGACTAGAGGAACGAGGCTAGATATATTGCAGCAAACCAGACGGCGTATGTAGACTGGAATAACCAGACGCTAGGAATTTGCACTCGATTGAGACTGCTGGCTTATTTCACGGAACATAACTGATTTGAAATTAGAGTAAAAACGGAAACGATTGAATGTAAATCAATTTATATACATTCATATTACAGTATTATATGAGTTGTGACCCACTTGTGTCAATTTCTAGGTCCCAAATATTAGCGATTTAGCTCCTTTAAACCAAATATTTATCATCACAAAATGACACATTTGATTGAAATATTAAATGACTACTTCAAAACCCTCCATGCATTATCAATACTACTGAATCTCTCAATATGGTGTCCACAAACTTAAAATGTTAATGTTTTTAGTATAAATCTTTCAAATTTGTTTATTTTGTGTGTCAAAATTTACTGTCTTCATGTTTCTTTTCTCGGCAGACGTAGCCTAGTTCTCATTCTTCGAGTGACACTGTGAACTTACAAATGCTAGTTTTAGTTCCTCTAGTGATGCCGCATAAGCAGTATTTAATGACATTAGAATGATTTTAGAGGTTGATTCTAATAGCTGTCTTCATTATCTATTAGAATACATAAATAGGTGGACCATCTCCTTTAAGAGAAAATTTAGCATTTATAATACCCAAAATGATATTGAAGGAGCAGTCCCAGATTTCAGTGGGTATTTGTTGATAAAACATCAGTACATGTATGTATCCGACTACAAATTAATGCAAAATTGTGAAGAAATAGCCAAAACAGTTTTCCTGAAATGATCGCTACATTTTCTTAAAGGAATTACATAATTTATTTTCAGGAAATCCATAGATCAGTCACCTTAGTGATGTGATAGTAGGGATAGGGTGGAATTTGCAGATTTATTGCCAACCACAATAAGTGAAATTTGTCATTTTGCAAAAAGGTAACACAGAGAATCAGAGCTACAGGATTAGGATAAAGGTTTTTAAAAGCTTTCCACACATAATTAACCCATTTGATTCACTTAAAATATATCTTTTAAAATGATAATATAAATCACTGTTAAATAAATATTATTAGCATGTTAAATATACATATATGTATCACAACCTCTTAAATATAATGATATTAAGCTATTTACATATAATAACAAGCCTAGAAATAAGGCATCTGTCACACACATTGACAGGCACAAACTCAGACTGTGTCAGGCACAATGCCTCTAGTATCTGTCATTCTGTCCAGCAAAGATTTCTTTGCAACTAAAATTCCAGGCTTGTATAATAAACTAAGAAGGTGTCATTTCTAATGTGATTGGCAGATTGTTCATTCAGTTAGTCTTATTAATGTTTACACTCACAGGCTTATATTGGGATGTGAAAAATTCCCATTTATAAGCTAAAACACAAATTCTATAATAGAAGTAATGATGATATTTCTAAAAACTCTGAATTTCACACATCTTTTTTAACTTGCTGCCACTTAATTCTACTCCATGATATTTTAGATTAATAACTGTACAATATATTCAGTACATCATTGCAACATTAAGCTGTTTGCATCTTGTATCATCAAAGGGTACCGCTTGACCATTTTCCTCATATAAATGACGCAAATAGTCGATTTTTGGTGGCGTAAGTTTACAAATAATATTTTCTGGGAGACTCCACGTTGTTTGTCCATTTTGATTTTGATAGAATAGGCGACCAAAAGTTAAAGATTCACGACTTTTGTGAACAGCCCAACCACCTCCCAAATCTGCATGTGATAGCAAAAGTCCACAATCACACTTTTCAGAGTTCTTTAAGTATTCTTTTAATTCATGGACCCTGTCTTGATTTTCATCTTTAGGTCTTGAGTAATATGGATCTAAATCTCCAGTAGGTCTTGGAGGGAGGGGTAAGGGTGGACGAAAACCCACCTGATCCTCCGAAATACTAGCCCCAGAATTTCTGGCAAAACTCACATGACTGTTCCCAGAACTTCTGTTGGAACTACCCTGACTGTTCATAGAAGAATTACTACCATTTAGCGTTGTCTTTTGTAAGTTTGGTTGAGATATTTGACGGTTAGAAGCGAACTTGTTGCGTCTGTTGAGTAAATCTATGTTAACGCTTTCTGGTAGACTTGCTGTTCTTTCCCGTCTATTTATCGGATACAGAAGCTTTACATTGTCAATCTTTTCCAAATTTCCAATGCGATGTACAGAATAGTATTCTTGTAATTCTCTAAAGCTTTGAAATGGCATTTCTGGTACTACATAGTAGGATAATCTAGGTCTTTTACAGACAACAATCTTGATATGATGTACATGTTGATTACCAATACTGAAATATTAAAACTTTCGCTATATCTTTAATGAAATAATGTTTTCAAATGGCAAGATCAGTGGATAGTTATTAATGATATTTTCAATTGAGACAGTGTCTTGTAGACGACATAAAATCCAAAATCTTAATCACCTGCAGGTGGGTGGTTAGGCCATCATTATAGATATGTGACCCGGTTGAAAGTAGTAGAACTCCAAAACCAGTAAGTCCAACGCCACTTTGCCTATGTTACTCCCCAGTCAGAATAAGCCCTACCCAAGAAACATAACAACTAAATTTGGTTGAAATCTATCAATTTATTCTTGAAGTCAAAAATGTAAAAGATATGACAATGGAAAGGGGTATGACACTAGCACTTTAGGTGGTTGGCGCCCACCAGCAAGACAATGACAGCATCAATGTAGGCTACTAGAAATAGTTTTAACATTTAAAGACTCGATGTGCCAGACGGACAAGAATTATTTTCCTTATTTAAACATAAATGAAAAAAACAAAACTAAACAACACGGAAAACGGGGAAAAAATACTTAAGATTGCATGCTCTTCTTCGGTTTACATGCATGGTGATAAGTTCACAATATTGATGACGAAATGTATATGTGACATTATCTGTGCTGCTGACACACTTTGTTGAAATACATGTAGGGCAAAAACTGTGAAGTTGTCCATTCTATAATGTTGGTGGTACTATAGGCTTAATATTTTGGGCAAGTTAAAATGACTTACCTGACAGATAAAGCCAGAAAGTTCTCTCCCTTTGAACTAAGACGAAGTAAAAAAGATCCAGCCTTACTACCCTGTTGTTTGACCAGCTTGGTAGCCTACATAAAAAGATAAATATACAAAAGTAACTACCATTTATCTACAAATCTGCGGTTTATATCCATACTTATGTTAAAATAAAACTTTGAACTCCATCAAGGCATCGACCAAATAAACACCTACACCAAGTTTGAACATTCAAGCTCACTTAGAAGGAGAGTTATTGTGTCCCAAAAAGTGTGACAGATGGACGGACGGACGGACTGACGAACCCATTTTAATAGTCCCCCGCTTTCTTCGAAAGGCAGGCGACAATAATGTGAAATCAAGATGGACATAACTTGCTCTAGGATTAATCAATTTTAATCACAGAGGAAGCAATATGCTTTTTGGTAAGTCTACCTTTTGGAAGGATTAATTTACATTGTGTAAGGTCTGCAAGTCTACATTTGCCTTTTAGTCTGGAATATTATGCCTTTAAGCCAAGCCTGTTTACAAAGATAGGTTGCCAGGCAACAAAATATACTCCCACAGCAGCTAAATCGTCCGAGCGGTTCTCAAGGGTTGTCGCATATTTATTCCTTTGTAGGTAATTGGGGGCCTTTACAAGACAGTTCCATACAGATCAGATTATACATTTTGTCCTTTGAGGGTTTACAAGGTTCTACAAACTGAAACAAACTCTGGAAGTAATCTACAGAAATTGTTGAAATTTGACAGGCTTTTTCGTTTTACTAATTTAAATAATGCATATAAAATTCATACAGATCACATGATCACTTTTGTCATTCAAATGTTCACAATCGCCATAACTCTAGAAATTATTGACGGAAATTGCTGAAATTCAAAAGACCTGTTTCACAAATTTAAATGATGCACATAAATTTCATACATATCAGATGATAACTATCATCAAACGAGCATTTACAAGGTTTAAGAAAGTGAAACAAGGGCAATAACTCTAGAAGTAATTATTGTAAATTGCTGAAATTCAATAGACTTTTTCGATTCACTAATTTAAATCATGCATATAAATTTCACAAAGATCAGGTGATAACTCTTTGCGTTAGAACGTTCACAAGGATCAATAAAGTGAAACAAGGGCCATAACTCTAGATGTAATAAACGGAAATTGCTGAAATTCAATAGGCTTCTCCGTTTCACTAATCTCAATAATGCATATAAATTTCACAAAGATCGAATAACTTGGGGCGTTGGAGCGTTCAATAAAGTGAAACAAGGGCCATAACTCTAGACGTAATAAACAGAAATTGCTGAAATTCAATATTCTTCTTCGTTTCACCAATTTAAATAATGCATGTAAATTTCAGAAAGATCGGATAATAACTTTTGGAGTTAGAGCGTTCACAAGGTTCAATAAAGTAATAAACTGAAATTGCTGAAATTCAATAAGGATTCTTCGTCTCGCTAACTTAAATATTGCATATAAATTTCACAAAGATCATATGTTAACTTTTGGCATTAGAGCGTTCACAAGGTTCAACAAAGTGAAACAAGGGCTATAACTCTAGACGTAATAAACAGACATTATTATCTCACTAATGTAAACAATATATATCAATTTTAACACAATTGGATGATAACTTTTGGCGTTAGAGCGTTCACAAGAAATTGTGGACGATGGACCGACGGGCTGACGGACGGACCGAACGACAGACGGACCGACGCACGCGACGGCAATATACGTCCACAATTCAATTTGGGCGTATAAAAATCAGTTCACCAGGGTTGGAGTTCAGGAATGGTAGCCTATAATTCTTAGAAAAATTTTAAAATTCATTTTCGATGAGTGATGGGTTGATTAATTTTAGTCTTCACTGGTATTCAAAGTGCCAAAGGATTAAAGAAAACAGTTATTAATATTATATAGTCCATACAGACGGTAAGATCCCTAAAATTTAAAATACTAACATAAATATAGATAAAAATGGACACAATTCTCGAAATAAAAGTTTTTGGTGAAACGCTGATCTCGGTTTCTTAAAGAAATTGAATTAAAATATAGAAAGGATGACACATTATGACAAACTATGAATAACTGTGGCCTATAAATACATACGACCCCACATGTCTATATTAATAATACTAACCTGATCGCTATCTTTAATATAATGATGAAAATATAAGAGTTGCCTTATTTCATCTGGTAACCAAGCCATTTTCTTCATTAATTCATGAGGATGATTTGATGGTAGTTCTGGTGGTAAAGCAGCAGCCATGTTTGTATTATAATGTAATACCTGTATCAATCATACCAAAATCTTGTCATTCGTCAGTGAAACCTAAAAAAAAGAGGAAGAAATTATGGGTAAACACTTCCTGATTTCTCATCACTGATAATCTGTAGTTTCTACTTCTCAGAATTTACATTTACCTTAGGTGGAATCAAGCAATCTCCATTATAAAAGTACATTTACAGATTTATAATTCTTACCCCAAATTTGTGGTCAGTCTCACACTTATTATAGCCTATAATACATCAAATAAAATCTGCCAATTACCCTTATTACTATTATTATAGAGTCTATTACTCAAGGCAAAAAATATCAAAATCATATTTCCATCATGTTTCATTGTAACAGATCACAATTATTATAATCACATTTTTTAAAATTTTTATAAGTACGTGTACAACGATTCGACAAGTATCCTCTTATGGTCGATGTCTCATTCTCTCCATAATATTATGATAAAAAGTATGTGCATATAAATATTTATAATACACCTACTTCCTTCTTTAGTGAAGGTTATGTTGTCTACATTGTATAGAACATAATATATAATAGAAATGGAATATAGCGAAGGTACTTTGTACAACCATTTATTTATATCTACCTTTTATCCTGTCCTCAAGTTTAAAGTTTATTGTTATAGCATGTGTGAAATTTAGCCAATGACTGATATGGTATTCTACATAACCTTCCTTTTCCCAAGTAAGCCTATACCAAACAGCAATTTTATGCTCCACTTGCATAAATACTGTAAATAAAGCAATGAATATCTTAATATTTCACTGACTGTATAGCTATATAGGACATTATGATCATTCATGTCATTTGTAGTTTTAATAGGTTGTTATATGATTTTCCATTAATGCATTTTATACCACACAAAATAAAATAAAGTTTTCCACCAAGCGTTCATGAAATTTATTCGCTACCAGATATTCTGTGGGCCACATATGCAGTGTTTCACTTCAGTGATTTTTAATTTTTTAATTTTAACGCTTTATGGTTGCATGAAAAATGTATTCAAGGAGTGTCTCAATGTATACCATTTACCTACATTGTAGTGGTAAGCTGTTATGATGCTCTGGGTTATTTATAAGATGGGGAGCCACAGTGGCTAAATAGGTAAGACGCTGGCTTGCTAGCCTGGAGATTGTGCGTTTTCGATCCCTGCTTTGGCCCAGATGGTCCATTGTGATTTTCCGGCGTGGTTTCCCTGTGTCAGTGGTGCACGACAGAGAGCCTGACAAGGACAGCTGTCTACATGTAGTTGCTTGGATGGGACAAAAAAAACGAGGTTCTGTGTACACATTGGCGTGCATGTAAAAAATCCCTTGGCAGTTGGAATTTGATAAAGAGTAGGCCTTAGCAGCGCTGTCCAGACAAAATGTCCCTCATAGAACACTGTATGGTGTATGCGGATGCCTGTCTTCATTACCCCAGTATGAGCAGAACAGTAGGACATTAAACCCCATTTCAATTCATTTCTAAGATGTTTTATAATTGGACCCAAAGTGATTGTTTGTTAGCTAAACCATAATTCGACCCATGTGGTGTATTCTAATCACTTGAGTTACCTCTTGTTGGTTTACTTTGAAAGAGACTTGCCTATTATTCAAATGAAGGTATCTCAAAATTTAAAGAATTTGTCTTGACTGTGGTATAAATATTACAGGTAGCAAATAAAAAATATTGGTACCATAATATCTATAAAACACAATAAGGAATAAGGAAGCTATTTCAGGGCAAGCCACACACTACATAACGTACTTGAAAATTAAATATTTATATAAAAAGTTTCTTCCATTTGTTTTAATATATATGTCAATACTGATACCATTACATAAGGAAATAAATTATCAAAAGAAGTGGAGAGACTCGAAAGTTGCTGTTTGTATGGATGGTGTAAGTCACATTGCTTCAATCTGAACTGAGATATTTTACTGATTTTTCTTCCTTTCGACAAAACAAAGAATGATGGAGAGTTGTAACAACCATGCTACATATTTACAAAAATTCTCAGGTTATGGACAAAAGGACCCTATACTATGGCTAGATTCATTTGAAAGTTATTGTGTTCTTCAAAACTGGGAAGAGGACAAATATAAAGTAGCAGGCCTTAGATTAGCTATGAAAGACAATGCTGCTGTATGGTTAAAATGTCTGCAAGAAGAAACAAGAAGTGACTATAAATCAGTGAAAAGTGCTTTTATAGAACAATACTGTACAGAAGTGGATGATGGTAAGGAAGTGGTTAGGCTAATTACACAGAGAAAACAACAACCAGGAGAATCTGTGGATGATTACCTTACAGAAATGAAAAGACTTCTTTTAATGAGATCCAAATATTTTCCAGAGGATTGGACAGCAAAAATTATGAGAAATGGACTGCAACCAGAAATACAAAAATGGGTTGCGTATAAAGACAAGTCTCATACAATAATGGGAGTCGAAAAATGTGCAAAATTTACAGAAAGTATATGTAATTATTATGCAAGGGAAGAAAACAGTGAAAAATTAGAACTTCATCAAAACGAACAATCAAAACTTGAGGAGGTCGTGAATAACTATCATGCACTGTCGAATCAAGGCAACCATGAATATGAACAAGTTTCAAGACATTATATGGAGTATGAACAAGGCCCAAACAATAGAATGGATTATAATGAATACAAGTCAAGGCTAGCAGAAGGTAGGTGTGATTACAATTATCATAGTGGCTATTCATCATATCAGAACTATAGGTTTTCTCAAAATTCACATATGGATTTGTGTCCCATTTATGTATCAGATAACACTAACCATGATAGTGCTAGGAAACGTCATCAAAAATATAATAACAGACATAGAAATGTTACACATTATAACAAACTTCCAAACAAAAGTCAAAATTATATCAACTATAAACAACCAAATAATAAAGAATTACAAAATAGTCTGTTAATTAGAAATAGGTATTGTGACGAAAACACTCAGTCCAAAAAGAAACAAAGTCACAAAAATATCATCGATTTATCAATTAATGTCGTAAATGCGGAGCAAAATAGTTCCATATCAGTAATGTTAGGGAAAATATTTATAAGAGCGTTAGTTGACTCAGGTGCCAGTGTGTCTATAATATCTAAAGATCAATACAATAATAGTGGATTGAAAGACATACATAAACAACAACCAACTGAGACTGGACATGTTAGAGGTGTTGGAGGTTCACTAACAAAGGTACATGGCATTGTGTCATTACCAATACGAATAGGGCGACTAACACTGCACCAAGAATTCCTTATTTTAGATAGCAATGTCCACTCCTTAATATTAGGTGTCGATTTCTTACAAACACAAAAGGCAGTGACAGATTTTGATTTACAGACACTCAGTCTTCAGAATGGAATGACAGTTGTACCACTTGGAGAAAAACAATCATCAGCTACAAGGTATTTGGTCAAATTAAAGGACGACTTAAAAATTCCAAAAAGACAGAAGCCATAGTACCTGTTGTTATCGAAAACATTGGATTGAAAAATGGTATAGGCATCATTGAAGCAAATAAAACACTTATAAATAAATGTTATGTACTGGGTGCTAGATGTTTAGTAGATGTCATTAATGGTTTAGCTTCATACAAACTGCTAAACCCGACCAATGATGATGTGAGCCTAAACAGTAAACAAGTGTTGGGTATGCTGTCATGGGTGTGCGAAAATGAAATCCTACAGGAGCTAACTGATGAGCATCCACATGTCAATGTCATGCAAGAGTCATTGGACGCTGCTGACAAAAACAAAGCATTCATTGAAGAAGCTAAATCTCTGGGTGTGGATTTAAGTGAGGCAGATCTAAGGGAACATCAAAAGCAGCAGCTGCTGACATTAATTGGTCAGAATAGGGATGTCTTTGCAAAAGATATGTCAGAGTTAGGCTCATGCAATGTAAAAGATTCCTATCATACCATTGACACAGGAGATGCCAAACCAATAAAACAAAGGTTTTATCGAGCAACACCAAAGATGAAAGAGGAAATGTCGAAAATGATTGATGAAATGCTAACAAATCAAGTAATTCAACCGTCTACATCTGAATGGTTATCGCCAGTGGTTCTTATCAGAAAGAAATCAGGTGATCTTCGGTTTGCCATTGATTACAGAGCCTTAAACACAGTTACCAAACCAATCCATTTCCCCTTGCCCAGAATGGAAGATGTGTTCGACTGCATTGGAGAGGCTCATGCTAACATTTTTTCAACGTTAGATATGTTTTCGGGGTATTGGCAAGTAAACTTGGACCCTGCCACAAAGCACAAAACAGCGTTCACATGTCACAGAGGTGTTTTTGAGTTCAATCGGCTACCCTTTGGCTTGTCGAATTCACCAAGTGCTTTCCAACGTACTTTAACAGAAGTCCTCAGAGATCTGACATGGAAGATAGCACTAGTGTACGTTGATGATATTATAGTTTGGTCCAGGTCATTCGAAGAACATTTGAACCATCTAACTATAATTTTTAGCAGGATTCGAGATGCAAACCTTAAGTTAAAACCTTCCAAGTGTCACTTTGCGGCTTAAAAGGTTTTATACTTAGGTCACATCATCTCAAAAACTGGTATTGCTGTGGACAAAACAAAGACCGAAGCAGTACAGACATTTCCTCGACCAAAGAACGTCAGTGAAGTCAGAGCATTTATAGGACTGTGCAGCTACTTCAGACGGTTTGTTAAAAACTTTGCACAGAAAGCAGCGCCACTCAACCAATTGCTACGGAAAGATGTGGCATTTCAATGGACACCGGAAATAGATGAGGCATTCAAAATGTTAAAGAGGGCCTTGATATCACCACCAATACTTCCATACCCAAATTTTGAAAAAGTTCTTGTTGCATGCAGATGCAAGCTCCAATGCCATAGGATATATATTAGGACAACATGATGAAGATGGCAAGGAAGTTGTAATTGCATATGGTGGACGAGCCCTAAATGACAGAGAAAAGCGATGGCATATCACTGAACAGGAATGTTTAGCGATAATAGAAGGTGTCAAACAATTTCATGTTTATTTAGCCAACACAGAATTCATGATTTACACAGATCATGTAGCCCTTACGTATGTTAAGTCCATGAAATTTAAATCTGGTAGACTCTACAGATGGTCTCTTAAACTAAATGAGTACCAGTTCCAGATCATTCACAAAAAGGGAAAGAACCACACGAATGCGGATGCATTATCACGTAGAACCTATGATGTAGCAGTTCAAGATGTAACTGTCCAAAGTGATGATGAAGAAGTCAACAATCAGACAACTGTGAAGAAAGTGCAAGAGATATGTCAGGAAGCCATAACAGAGGATCAACTGCAGCAGACACCAACGAAT